GAAGATTTTAATACCGTTAAATTTTTCTAAGTGACGTATCGATACGAAAGAATTTTTGATATTGAGATATACATATGGTAAGCGAAGTCGGAAGGCACTCCCTGAGTGGAGGCCAATCTACGTATATACTGAGCGAGTGTAAAAGTCCTGTTAATTTTACGTAATAAAAATATAACAAGTTATTTATAAGGTTATGTACAAAGAACTGTTGTTCCTTAGAATCTATGAAATTATCAGTTTGACTTTCTCTGTATATAAAAGTTTTCGACCATTTAAAAGAAAACGAACTATTGTTGCCATGTTTCTTTATTTATAGCTCCGTCTTCAGAGATTTGATAAATATCTTTGCAGGTTTGTGCTATAGCGTTACTTTTCTTAAACTTAAACTCACATTAGATACAATGTCATATATAAACTTTAATCTCGGATATCCTCTACTTTGATTGTTGGCATAAAATAAGCAAAAAGTTATATTCCTATATATTATTAAAGTAAGACATTTGTAGTTATTATACAGAATTAGCTTCTATTTTTAAGTTCATGATTGCCCAATAAAAAGATAGTTATAGATGTTAGTTGTGGATAATGCAGGCAAACACAGAATGTTTATATCCACCTAATACATAATACATAATAAAAGTACAATAAATTCTTTTTGTTTAACGGCTTGTTTCCAAGAAAGTGCAGTTCGTAATACGTGTCGTCAAAACTTCATTTTAAGCTTGAATTTCTCAAACATGCAATGAAAAAATTTTTTACTCCTTATTTAGACTTATTTTTTTACGTATAATGAATAATCTATTTCAATATATTGATCCTCCTGGAGCACCCTGCCCTGCATATAATACTAACATTATGCTAACGAAAAGGCAAAAAATATACGTAATTGTACAATCTACGAACACGAAATAAGTACATATATGTATATCATCATATATATTATAAAACATATCAAATTTCATGTAACTAAATTTGGAAATTGATAAAAGCAAATTTATTTCAATTACGCTGATTTTAACATTTACATCTTCACACATATAAATACGACATAGATAATTAAATTTTAACAGGGATGAAACGTAACGTAAAAATATAGGGAGTCCCTAAATAAAGAAGAATTCGATATATCATCAATCCGACTGATAAAACAATTTGCCTCTCCTCATTAATTTGGGAAGTTCTTAATTCTACTATGAAAATAGTTAGCGCTTAGCTCTTAGATAAGAAAAAATCGGATACCAAGTTATGTTAACAGAATAGCATCTTTAATCGTTGCAAGTAATGACGGAATGGCGCTTCTACCTTGACCGTCATTCCGTACAGTCCGCCAGCTTTCACAATCAGTAACGTCGATCAGGCATAAACCAAGTTTCAGTGTTTCCCTTGGATAAAAATAGATTATTCAAATGGACACTGACCTTGCTATTGTGCAATCAAACAATTCGACGCTAGGATGCGAGAGATTATTATAGCAACCATTCTTCCGCCGATAGGAACCATTGTTGTGGACATAGTGACATCAGATTTTATGGAAGTAAATAAGATGTTACTTTCGCCCAATAAACGAAATTTCCCATATTATATCTTTTGGTCATGTTTGAAATATAATTAAAATATTTAACACAGGATCCAATAGAGAAGTTATGTTCAGTCGTAGCCTACTTTCCGTTTAAAAATATTTGATTTAAATGCGACGCAAATTATTACAATAAAATTTGACGGAAACTCTCATTCAACTTTAATTGTAAATAAAATTTTCTGCCTATACCGATTAATATGAATATTTATGTACTAATATAGATTGTAAACATTTATGGAAACAAATAATAACTAATGTATAGTATTTAGATACTTAAACTTTCGCATTAAAAACATTCTACAATGACGAGACAATGACATGTGACAATTACGTGCCATAGATTTAAAATATATTTCATTACGATTGACCTATTGTGTCATTTTATGTTTTACAAAGTTGATGTTTCTCTTAGACAGGATATATTTAGACTCGTCAATGAAAATAGAAATAAAATTAAAAATAGACTTAGTAACCGTAACATAATAATAAAAATTAGATTTACAAATTGAATTGTATAACACTGTATTGTACTGTATAACACGCTATTTTAATTGGCATTTATTAACTTGTCCCATATTTGCTTTTGTTAAAGAAGTCAATTAAAATAAATAAAATAAGTTTTTGAATACTTGAATGTTCACGCTTTTAAACAATAAAGACTCACCACAATCTTCGTAAATTTTTGCTATCCAAATCAAAATTTTATCACAAACATTGTAGAGAAGAATGCGCGATGGATCTGTTTTCTTGATTGTAGCAACGTGCAGTAACTGTCAGTCAGCTCTTGAATCGTAATCTAACATACACAGAGTACGCATAGCGTGTGCGTACTATGCGACGACAGAACGTATTCATTGCTTACATAAAAATATTGTTGGCACATATTAATATTAATGTCCTTTACTATAACTACGCATGTTCTTTGAATCAACCGTAGTATTTAAATGATACAAAAACTCTTCATTCTTTGTGATCTTCCATTATACTTATATGAATACAGGATTCTATTGCATTTGTAATTCATGTGTAACATGGTAGTTGCGAGGTATAAATCTTAGTTAATGAGTTTATACATTTTCATTTTTCATCGCTAATAATATCGAAAATAATTTAAGTTGTGTAAGTTGTAAAACGTAACAAATAAAAGTGAACTTATAATTTGAACCATATTGTATAATACAAAATATTAAATAATATTTAATTAGTTAACAAATTTTTAGAGTTGATAAATGTCAATTAAAAATATTGTATAATATAAAAATAACTAAAAGTAGGCGTCAAGCTAAATATTGAACTGAAGCTCAATTAAAGCTTCTATTAAGGTATCCGCGTATTCCACCCTTTATTGAAAATCATATTTATTATCTTACATCAAACAATAAATAACACAGAATTTTTATTTCTAATTTCAACATAATTGAATTTAACTGAATTGTAGTAACCAATCATCAATATTGCGTAGCTATTTTTAACGTATTTTGAACGGAGAATTATGTGATAACTATCTATATTAAAATCCTACTTCACTGTTATCTTCATTTGAAATATGTATAATATAAAAACGGAATATATTTCATGATTATTGCACTAAATACATAGACAGGTATATATGTATATGTATATACACATTATAATATATACACCTACATGTTATACATACATATGTATGTATCATCATACTTTTAGTATATATATATATTTTCTTTTTCTATAAGTAACTATGTACACAGATCTAAAAAATGAAGGAAATTCCATTTGCGACATGACAGAAACTTCTAGAATGACTCAAATTCTTGCTACAAACATGTTACCTTGTCTTTTGTTTCTTATCGGCTTCATTGTTTCAAAGCTGGATGGCGCCAACGAGGGCACAAAAATATGAGTTAATCTATAGCTGCCGATACATACGCAAAGGTATGTATATAGCAGCAATCACACATCTGTATTTAGTCATATTAGAGTTTAACTCTCCCACGAGTTCGAAATCTACGCTCAGCTATTCCAATGCCGTTACTGTTATTTTAAATTGAACAAGGTAGCATGTAAACTAAAGCGTAACCAGGTTGTCCTTTTTATCAATTTATTTATATATGCGTTTACATTTCCACCACGACTGATTAGTTAACATTAATCAGTTAAAAAATTAATCATGAAATTGAAAATATTAACATAAAAATCGCCATATGCTTAAGATAAAATTTTATAATCATATAATTACTTAGAAATGAATGTATTGTTTTCAATAAAAAGATTTTTCTGAGACATGGATTACAACAAATGATAATTAAACAATAATATGAATAGTAAGCGCTATTTAGATGCAAGACTAAGTAATTAATAAGATGAATAAATAAATGCGTTCATCGACACTAAATCGTTGCCTAAAATTATTGTTAATGTTGGCTAATGTTGGCTAAATGTTATTTTGTCATGCAAACTGCTGCGCAATACGAATAACTACATATATGAAATTTTATTATTCTTGTTTTGCCTTTGATAATCACTATATAAAATTTAGTTTAGATAATTCTAGAAGGTGCATACGTTTACAATAATTCTAAAATGTTACTCAACCGTAAAAAATGAAAGCAAAGCATTAAACTTACGAAATAAAACGAATATCAAAGCTCATTCTTACATTTTTAAATTATATATAAAAATTATATTTAATATACAGTAAATTTTAAATATGCAGAAATAACAAATCTTTTGCATTTCAAAAATAAATTTGTGAACAAGACCTGCCATGACATTTGAAACATTGTTTTAATGATAAAAATTATTATGATTATAATCTGATTGATAATTGGTATTTTAATTTAATAAACATTAATTGGAGAATATAAATAGCAATTCAAAATATACCAATCCAATGAATTTGAATTAAGATTTTGGTGTACCAACTCCTAACTCCTGTATTATATATATACATATGTGTATCGTGACAATATTGCAACTGTACTTTGATCATAAATAGGAAATTGAACTCACTTAAATTAAACTTGTCAGGGATATAGTAAAAAATAATAGGATATTAAATGAAATTTTCAACAGCCGTGAAAAAAAGGTACAGGGAGAACATGGTAGCATGGTTCGTGCAAGTTTGTTCTTCAAACATGGCAGCAGTAAATATGCGAGGAATGACATGACCTTAATCGAAAAATACAGCTAAGATGATTGTATGCAGAGAAAGAATGCATATTGAAGAAGCAAGCTGTAGCTAATGGAAATACACCCACGAGTATTCACATTCTGAAGGATGGCAAGGAACGATTCAACGGAATGTCCTTAGTTGGCGTGCTACTGGAGAAATTCCTCTTGCAGTCGAATAGCGGGGATTCGATACCGATTCAATGAGGAACGGGTGTTGGATATACTTCGCAGTTGGAAAAACATTAACAGATATAAAGAGATCACTCACCTGTTCGTTTCCGCTATTGGTACTCCACGGACATGGATAAACTACACACGCGTAAGATCGTATGCAACAATGCAACTACAATGGAACGAGCACCGAAATCTGACGTTCCTCTTTCGTGCTTACGACGGTTTTAATATGTGGACTACGTAGCCTGTTGCACTCAAGCCAGGCGGCTGAGAGTGGGGATTAGTAAGGCCCCAGGGTCGCGTTACTGATTGGTCAATTGGTCCCTGATGTTAAAGTTGTTCAGGTAAAAGTCAGGTAACAGGTGGTTGTCGTCGTGCCATCTAGCGAAGTTGATATTGAAACTTTTTAGAAGACATCTAGATCCTTTCTTTAAAATGTGTAATTATAAAGGTGTGCAGAATGATTGAGAAATTATAACAGCTAATCTCATTGAATTTTCGTTAATTAAACACTAATTTAATCATTTTTATTGGAAAATCTTCTATTAAACATTACATTTTATTATGTATTTATTTTGATAAGAGCGTAAAAATAATATTTCTTATAATTAAATGTTTGCATCAGAAAACTAAAAAATCGTAGAAGAAATTAAATGAGATTTTAATTTTTTAAAAATATATGTACAAACAACAAAATGTATATACATAATGCTATGTTAAATGACAATTTTAAACATGAAAATTAACATTTAAGTAGTGCAATAATTTAACGAAAAATGATTGTTTCATTATATAGTAAACATTTTTATTATGCATTCTTCTACATTATTAGATAAGTACGAGAAATAAAACTTCACAAAATTATTTATATGATATAATATATGATAATATATATTATATCATACTGATATATGATAATATAAGATATGATAGAAGCATAAAATTATTTTACTACTTAAATACTCTCTTGTTTATATTATGTATATATCAGTAACAAATGTAATAATAGATCAAGGACAAAATAAATCTGACAGCATCATGGAATTTTGTGTGTTCTGAAATATCGATCGCGCAAAAATTACAGGTTTTGTTATGCCATCTATGATTTAGGGCGGTTAGTGGAATCATATTACATCTAACCGCCAAACTTAATAAAATCAACACAAGTGAACCAACCTCTTCTGTTCGTAACAGCCATATATACTATTAAAATGACTTAAATTAATTTATTTATAAAATAACTGATAATAATATAATACGTACCTGAATCATCTGCGCCCTGGTGGCAGAAATAGGAATTAAAAATTGAAATTACATCATTTCGCGCGGTGTCGTACTGAAAGGTGGAAGCAACTGCAGAGAGTTTATTATAAATGTGAAAAATTTAATACACATCGACATGACATTGCTTCAAAACGGTGAGAAACTTAATTTAAATCGTTTTGTATTTACAGTTATTAACATATTAAGGACCAATCATGTTTGTGAGAATTGTTGTGTTTATTCCGATGCTTGAAGCCGATCACGAAAATTTTCATACTTTCATCGTTGTCTTTTAGAAAAGAACAGTTTAACTGTATCTTGAGTAGGAAAAACGATTAATCCGCAATATGTTAACATGCAAACATAATTTATAGTGATTTATCGTATTTCCATGTAAATAGACGAATATCGAAATAAATTTTAAAAAATCACACAATATCCGGGTATTAATAGAACGTGATACGTTCCTGATCCAAGTGCACCCTGGTGGTAAATTTTAAGATTAAAATTTGAAATTACATCATTTAGCGCGGCGTCATACTGAGAAAAGAAAGCAACTGTAGAGAGTTCGTCATAAATATGGAAAATTTAATATACGACACCAAAGTATTGCTTCAAAATAGTGAGAATCTTAATTTTATTAACTTTGTATTCGTAATTTCGTAACAATTTATCGCGATTTGTCGTTTTTTATACTAGAATAAAAGAAATGTACTCGTTGCCGAAATGAATTAAGACTTCCGTTTTAAGCATGTAAGAATATTTGTATATTCTTATATTTTGCTGTAATTATTATCTATTCATCAAAAAATAAATTTCATATTTTATATATTATATATTATATATATGTAATATTTTATATATTTCATATTTCATATTTTTATATAGAATTTCATATTTTATTATCTCAAATTCTTCGAACAATGATTAATGTTTCTGGGAACAAATTATAATAATTCATTATTTGTTAAAAGAATGTCACTCTTTCCTTTCCTTTTCGATCCTCGGAAAGGACCTAATGGTGCTTTAAAAGTAAAAAATGTAAGTATCTTCTTATTTTGTACTTCATTTAATTCTATTTCTTGTGTTTTACAATAATTATTACTAATTAAAAGGTAGAATCTGATTGAAAATTTGGTAAGTGTAAACCTTTCATTTTTGAATTGAATATTATTATTAAAATTTTCTATTTAGTGGAGATCAGTCTTTTATTATCTCAAACTTTCAAAATAATTAGCATTGTCATTGAGAATAATTATATTTTATGCTTTATTAGGCCTCTTCCAGTCTTCACTTCTTCTATTGAATTCGATGATTTCGATTTGATGGTAGCTTGATGGTAATTTCCCTTGAGGTACAACAATATTGTTGACAACGCTCTTCGCATTTAATTGTGAGTCACATGCATTTTTGTTCCTCTGGTTACTTAGCCACGTCATAGGATGAAAGGTCCAAATCGATACGGGTAACTGGTCCGGCAAGTTTGCCATAGAAAAAGGCAACTATTAATGGCTTTCTATCTTCTGGACCATCCAGAGAATGGAAGGTCATTCTCATTTTTTTTGCCGATATACTATGTACTATATGTCGTCCTTCCATTACATTGGGCAAGTCGCGGTCTTTTTATTAGTGTTGCGAGAAATTAATTACGGCCTGAATTGGAGTTCTGATAAAATGATATCTTAGTGCTGCGAAAAAATGATATTTCTGTATATTTTAGTGTTGCCAATTATGACATCGCGATTGTTTTAATCAGTTTTTTAGTTAGAGTTGCGTTGATGAACGTTCGCATTTTCTAAAATAGTGTTGCGCCTATATCATGCCCAATCTTCTTCCACTGAACTGTGGAAGCACGCTCCAGCTCCTGGACCATCTGATGCAGTTTCACCAACAGTATGTCATCATGCTCAATATCACACTAATATAGTAGTATAAAATATTATCCATAAAAATTTCAAAAGTTAGCATTATATTTCTTGAAGTTTAGCCTACAATATATTAAATTCTACATTTAATTATGTGCTAGCATGAATGTAAAAGTATTCGTATTGCAATTGTATTCTTCACGATTTTGTAATAAAATTTAATTTTAATTCCAGTCACAACTAATGTCGTAATTTTCTTTTACGAATCATTAAAAATATGATTATTTTATAGTGATGAAAATATGATCATTTTATAGTTAGTGGTTTCGTTTTCGTTTGAGTTAGAATTAAACTGCAGCTGAAAATTAAATTGAATATACATAATTTCTGTGCTCCTCGTAGCAAATTCAGAGGGCGCAAGAAACATCCTAATCTTCTTCGAAGTCGGTATTCCAGAACGTGAGACACAAAGTCCCATTTAATGTCACGTCTATCCAATCCTTAGTTAATGGTATAACAACACTTCTGACTTTTTGCACGATCGGTATTTCAGAACATATGACACAAAGTCTCATATGAGTCTCAAATACCTTATACACACCTATCTACTACCATACATCTAATCCGTATCTTATTGATGCTTTTATTTCGATAAGATTAATGAAATTAATATCATAGATTCTTCATTGATATTTAATCTGTATTAATATTATTAATATTCTTTATATGCAGTAAAATATTATTATTTTGACATAAGTATTTTTATAGCGTTCTAAATTTTTGATGTTAAAGCATTAACAAGTATTTGAATTCAACACAAGGAAGGCAAATTAAAAATAGTTTTAATGCATATTATTGCATTGTACAGTACGTTGAAATGAGTTAGTTTTGAAGTTAACTTTTCGATAAAGTATCATTATCCTTGGTATTCTTTCGTCATATGAGCGGCAAGTAGGAAAAGATTTTTATCTAGTTTGTATATGATATCACGAGGATTCTTATCAGATAACGCAATTTATATTTAGGCTTGCAATGGAACACGCGTATTTGATGAAAAAAAGTGCAAAACTACAGCATTTCTTAAAATAGCGTTTGTATCATTGGTAACAAATTCATGTTAACCAAAATAATAAATATCGTGACTAATCGAAGATCAATTTCAATTTGTCTCTTTCGAGTGGTTGAATGGTTGAATTTTGCACTTTTGTCTGGGAATGGATTACTTACAAACACCTGGCCTCAGACAGTGGTCACAGATACGGTGGATCACTTTACAATAGAACTGTGTAATGCCGCTTGTATTTTTTACGGACGGATATGTTAGAATGTTTATTCGCAAATCATCGTTTCCAGCGCGGGTATCGCTGAAGCTAATGTTCTCGTTAGTTAACAATATCTATAATTCTAAAGCTTAATCTAACGTGACAAGTTTCACCAAGGGTTCCGTTTAACGTCAGATCAATTTCAATTCAACTGTCATTATAGATTCTTTTCAAACCCTGCTTCTCCCTGAATATCGCTACAAAGTAGGCCAACTTATACATTTCCTGTAATCGTATACGATAAACAATGTATCCTATAACTCTATATTATTACAGCACAACGTTAATTTAAATTAACTTGATCGGTAAACGTATAGAGGAGTAAATATGTAATCGTTTTAACCGACTAATTTCGGCTTGATTTAGTTTGGGTTAATGATTAAATGGAGAATACCTGCTATAAATAATATACATATTTCACGTGAATGTCTTGCATTTGAAGTAAATATGTAAATAAAATATATGAAACAGGAAGAAAAAAATATTCAAAGAAATTTTTTATAGTTTTTTTCTTCTAAATATATAAAGTTAACTGATTGGCGATTGCAGTAAAATTTTTGTGTTTATTCCATTGAAAGAATGATTAAGTGTAAAGAATAGCAAGAAAAAACAAGATACAATACATTTTACTGATCATACTATATTAATTGGTGACATGATTCATTTACCATTCGTGGAAGATTATCTCTTCTTCGCAACTATGAGCTTATTGTTTCCCCTGTTTCGTACCACTTTTGTATTGCTCTTTAAAAGACTGTATTATTTCTGATGATTTGGGATGGCTTTCATCAATTTTT